AACTAGCCTCTGTCGATACTAAGATGAATTTAATTATTTCAACCGACAAAATATAATGCAAAGATATCACAAGTTATGCCTCTCTCGATTACATGAACAAGTAAATATAGATGCAATAGTTAAAACATCCCAAACGATTTCAATACATAAAATTAGAATCAATATCCACAAACAAGTATCAAGACACCAAATCCCCAAAACTTAAGAGAACTACTCATAAATATGGAGCAATTTATCATAAAAATGTTTAGATTAAAGGAAAACATGAAACGATCCAAACTCGTGTCTTGAGTGAGGATTGAATGATGAAATCCATTGCTTTTGCTTCTCCACTCCTCCTTAGCTTCCTAAGGTCTAAGATGAGTTAAAAGTTCAACAAAATTACGTTGACTTGTATTTTATACTAAGTAGGGTAGGACCCAGACAAAAACACCTTTTCCTGTGCGAAATAGATACTGGTTCTATAAAAAATAGCACAAGCGCGCCGCATAGGGCGATGCACCATTCAGACCTATTCCAATTCCGGAACCAAAATTTGAGCCCGATAACTATAATGTCAACTGTCAGTCAAACTTAACACTAAACTTCAACTTCTCCAACTTTCGCCAATTAAAGCTAAAATTACCTACGGACCTCCAAATTAATATCCGGACACACTTCTAATTCCAAAATCACCATACGGAGCTATCGGTACCATCAAAACTCCATTACGGCGGCATTACATACAAGTCAACATCCAATAAACTCTTCAACTAGACTGCCAACCTAGGACTAAGTGTCCATGCATTCGAAAAATCCCCGGAACCAAACCAACTATCCGGCAAGTCACATAACCACAAACGAACATAGAATAAGCATAAATGGGGAAACGAGGCTACAATACTCAAAATGACTAGCCGGATCGTTACAAACCTGATCTAAATATCAACAACCTGATCCAAATATTACGCACAACACAGCTCTACGGCCCACATCAGTCAACAACCTCTCAAGTAACAAGGGTTCACAACCTCATAGAACTCAGCCCATCAGTGTCACATATGGAAAAAAATAGCATGTGATGAATTTAACACGTAGTACACAGAGACTGAGATATGATATGCAAATGAGCAATTATGACTGGGTATATACATACAGTTAAGGAAAACAACTCAAAATAGCAGGAATAGCCCATTATGTCTCAACCAAGTAAGCACATAGTCTAAACATGATTTCTAACATGAATTATAACTCATGTAATCAAACGAGTAGGGAAAACACGAATATAAAAAAACATGATATCGAAACAATTCCGAAAATAGTCGAAAGTCAACTCGAATCATGAATACTCTGGTGCACTCCCTCACGCCCGTCACCTAGAATATGTGTCACCCCAACTCATCTCATATAACATAGTTTTCAGGAATAATTACCCTCGAATCTAAGTTTAAGTATGTTACCTCAAAACGCGAAGATCAGTACTCCAAAAAGCTATTCCCATGCGAATCGACCTCCGAGCGACTCAAATCTAACCAAAACAATTTAATAACATCAATAGAAGCCATCGAAAACAATTCTAACTAATAAAGCTAAGGTCTAGAATCAAATATGCAAAGTCAAACACAAAAAGTCAACCCGGGGATCGTACTCTAGAACACGACAAAATTTGTAAATTTCAAACATCCATTCAAATATGAGTCAAACCATACCAGTTTCATCCAATTCCAACCGCAAATCGACCATCAAATCATCAAATCTCACTCTCCAATAACATAGCCTAAAATCCCAAAATTTCACCTAAATTCACGTAAACAAGATGTAATAATCAATAGGTAATCAATATCTACCATAAAAAGTGATTTAATTTGACTTACGTCTTCAATTACAGCAAGAAGTCTTTCAAATATTACTCTTAGCCGAGCTCCACAACTCCCAAAATAAGAAAATAATCAAACCCCTCGGATATAAACTCTTCCAGTGATTCTGCATATGCGGTCACTTAACCGCATCTGCGGTTCCGTAGGTGCGGTACAATATTGCATCTACGATTCCCTCAGCCTCCGACCTTCCGCATTTGCGGACCATAGCGCACACCTATGCATCCGCAACTGAGGTCTTCGTCCGCAAGTGCGGCCCCTCTCTTGTTATTAGACTTTCGCATCTGTGGACTCCTACTCTTCCAGCCAACTTCGCTTCTGTGACTACCTGTACGCATCTGTGGACTCGCATCTATGATCATACTTCCGTATTTGTGATGACACCAGTACCGACACACTTCTATTAATGCAACTCAAACCAAAACAAGCTGAAACCAATCCAAAACATACCCAGGGCCCCCAGGACGCTGTCCAAATATACCAACAAGTCCAAAAACACAACACGAACCTACTTGAAGCCTCAAAATCACATAAAACAACACCAAAATCATGAATCGTACTCCAATTAAAGCCTAATGAAACTAATGAACTTCCAATTTCTAAAACTCATGTCGAATCGCATCAAACCAACCCGGAATAACCTTAAGTTTTGAACACAAATCCCAAAGGACACAACGTTCCTATTCCAACTTCGGAACCAAATTTCGAACCTTATATCAACAAAGTCAACTCCCAGCCGAGCCTATCTACCTTCCAAGCCTTCAACATTTCCAACTTTTGCAGAAAACCATCAAATCAACCTACGGACCTCCAAATTTAAATTCGGACATATGCCTAAATCCAAAATCCCCATACGAAGCTATTGGAATCATCAAAACACTATTCCGAAGTCGTTTACACAAAAGTAAAATTCCGATCAACCCGTACAACTTAAGCTTCCAACCTTAGGCCTAACTGTCCCAATTTACTCTGAAACCTCCTTGGAACCAAACCAATCACCCTAGCAAGTCACGTAACCACAAACACATATATATAAGGCATCAAACACGGGGAACGGGGCTAAAATACTCAAAACGACCGGCCGGTTCGTTATATTCTACCCCTCTAAAGCAAACGTTCGTCCTCGAACGGGTCTAGAATCATACCTGGAGTCTTGAAAAGCTGAGGATATATATACCACATCTCCTGCTCGGTCTTCCCAGTAGCCTCCCTGATAAGCTGACCTATCCAATGAACCTCCATAGATGTTATATTATTTGACCTAAACTTTCGAGTTTATCGATCCAAAATAGCCACTGGATCCACATCATAAGTCAAATCTCCATTTAACTGTACCGTGCTGAAATCCAAAATATGTGAGGGATCACCATAATACTTCTGGAGCATAAATACATGAAATACTAGGTGAATCCCCAATGGACTATATGGTAAGGCAAGTCTGTAGTCCACCTCTTCAACTCTCTCAAGCACGTCAAAAGGACCAATATACCTAGGGATTAACTAGCCCTTGTTCCCGAACCTCATCACACAATTGATGCAACATCACGAGCCCTCCTGTAAGCATAACTCTTCTGCCTGAACTGTGTTGTACGAAGTCGCTTCTGGATCAACTTCACCTTCTGCGAATCATCAAGGACAAAATTAGTGCCCAACAACCTAGCCTCCCCAGGCTGAAACCAACCAATCGGAGAACGACACCACCTCCCATATAAGGCCTCATAAGGAGCCATCTTGATACTCAACTTATAGTTGTTATTGTAAGCGAACCTTGCTAACAGTAGAAACTAATCCCATGAACCCCTGAAATCAATAACTCAGGCACGTAACATGTCCTCGAAGATCTGGATAGTGCGCTCCAACTGTCCGTTCCACTGGGGATGAAATGTTGAACTCAACTTGACCTGAGTGCCCAACTCTCGCTACACTGCCCTCCAAAAATGTGATATAATTTGGGTGCCTTAATATGAGATAATAGACACAAGCACACCATGAAGGCAAACAATCTCACAAATGTAAATTCGAGTCAGCTGCTCTAAAGAGTAGGTAGTCACAACTGGAATGAAATGTGCAGACTTGGTCAGTATGTCCACAGTAACCCATACTGCATCACATTTCCTCAAGGTCCGTGGAAGTCCAACTACAAAAGTTATCGTGATACGCTCTCACTTCCACCCCGGAATATCAAGCCTCTAAAGCAAACCATCAGGTCTCTAATGCCCGTACTTCACCTACTGACAGTTCAAACACCGAGCAACATACTTAACAAAATCATTCTTCATCCTCCGCCACCAATAGTGCTGCCACACAAGTTTCAATTAACAAAATGAACCTATTCCAATTTTTGGAACAATAATCTGAACCTGATACCATCAAATCAACTTGATCATACTTGTGAGCTCTCCAATTCTTCAAATTGTCAAATTTTTGACAAATAGAGCCAAAACCTTCTGGGAACATCCAAATTTCAAATACGAACATACGCTGAAGTCCAGAATCGCCATACAAACCTATTGAAACCATCAAATTTTAATTTCGAGGTGCTTACTCAAAAGTCAAATCTTGGTCAACTCTTCCAACTTAAGCTTCCGAATTAAGAATTACTCTTTGAAATCAACTCCGAACCTCTCAAAAGTCAAAATCAACTATGTGCACACAAGTCATAATGCATAATATGAAACTTCTCAAAGTTCCGAACCCCGAACGAAGTGCTAAAATTCAAAACGATTGTTCGGGTAGTTACAATTTAGTACTACTAGCATTAAAAAAAAAAAAGTCACTATATATAGCTTATTCTGTGCATGGAATCTAAGCAAGTGACAAGTGGTCAAAAAATTTTAAAAACCTATAAAATACATGGAGTTTTTTAGCTTATTGATAAATAATACCCCATATTCAAGATAGGATATATTTTAAACAACCGTCTGAGTTTCATCATTCATGACTTTTTCTTCTTACCAAAATTGCAATTTTTAATGCTTTCACCAAATAGAGAACTTTTGATATTTTTGTTACAGTTGGAACTAAATCAGATTTAGTAAAATTGGTAACAACTTAATTACTAAAGGAAAACAGATACCATGGGGTTCCATTTGTGTCCTATATAAACTCATGTTTTTATCATTCTCCCATCCATCAATTCTCAGGTTGCAGCTATACATGAAGGGAGCTCACAACGATGACGATGAAGATGAAGATGTTGGAATTCAATTCCAACGACATGAATCCTGAAGAAGGGTTCATCCAAATTGAATCAATGAGTCACCAAATTGTAAGATCGTTACTTCATTGCCTTTTCCTTAATTGATATGTTATATCTATTTGTTCTTTAATATCTAACCCTTGTAAACGTTGATGTGCTTAGGTTATGGAGCCCCCGTGCTTGTGTGGGCTCCTTTTTGCACAGCACTTTCTGCCAAAGACCATGGTAATGAACATAAATTTGTTTCTTAAAGTAACACATTAACGAAAATTGATATATACTAACCGCTCTGATCTAATTTAAGCGTCTCATTTAATGGAAGTTATGTTGATTGAAGTTAAGAGTGAAACTAAATCTTCTAAATTTGACTCTTTCCTTTTTTTTCCCCAGATCCATAGTCACATAGACATGACTGACACGGACTTAGCTGGATCGCGACAAGTGTTGAAAGAAAGTGGATCTTTTAGGGTAATTTTTTGGGATGCCATTGGTGAAAAATACAACTGGAAAATATCTTGTATCTCTATTTTTGTGGTTGTCTCACCGCCTTTATGTACCTAAAAAGGGATTCTATGTACAAGTAGTGATTACATGCTGACTTTTATTAATACGTTCCTATCTGTATAAACTCTTGGTTTCGAAAGAGAATTGTGTCTTGAATTTTTGTTTTGCGGATTTGATTATTAAGTAGGTAATTAGAAATTGTAACAATAGCATGGATACGAAAATGACACTGATTCACATCTCATACTTAGATACGTGAATCCAAGATCTAGGGTTAATGGGTTTAGAATGAGTATCATTTTATTAATTATAAGAATACATTTTAATTTTCTGCATATACATACACATTTTGAAAAAGAAAAAAAAAACAATCGGTTCGGCATATAAAAACGATGGGATCAATTGAACATATAAAACCCGACCTCAATCTACTATGATCATACCGAAGCAGCACTAAGTGCCGATCACAGCCATATAGTTTTGATTTGTGACAATTTCATTCAAAAATTTGCTTTATTACAATTTTCTTTCTTATTAAAATCTTAAAATCAATTAGACAATCAATAGTGTTGTCAATTATATCCTGCGATTACTGAGTGGTTCACGTTTATTTTATTTTCGGGGGTTGATGACTAACTCACTTAGTGAGCTTCTTGCCATTTACAGTTGAAGTGGAGGATTTAAACACTATTAGTAATGTAGTATTCCCCTTCTCCTTTTTCCTCCCCCTATATAATAAAGAATTTTTCCTAAAAAAATTGATAACGACTTCGTTTCCAAGTTTACTCTTTTTATTTTATTTTTTGTTTTGTCCTTCTTTTTTCTTTTGTTGGAACATGGATGGGGTACATGACTAAGCAATACTTATGAATGTTGAGATTTAGTTAGATAAGACTGCACAAGATGCAGTTTCATCTTTCATCGCACTCCGATATCTTAATAAAACAGAATTTGCTAAAGTTGGCAACAACTTGCCAAAGAAAAACAAAGCCCAAGAGTCCAATTTGTGTAGGCCCTCTTTCGNCGAGCAACATACTTAACAATATCATTCTTCATCCTCCGCCACCAATAGTGCTGCCACACAAGTTTCAATTAACAAAATGAACCTATTCCAATTTTTTGGAACAATAATCTGAACCTGATACCATCAAATCAACTTGATCATACTTGTGAGCTCTCCAATTCTTCAAATTGTCAAATTTTTGACAAATAGAGCCAAAACCTTCTGGGAACATCCAAATTTCAAATCCGAACATACGCTCAAGTCCAGAATCACCATACAAACCTATTGAAACCATCAAATTTTAATTTCGAGGTGCTTACTCAAAAGTCAAATCTTGGTCAACTCTTCCAACTTAAGCTTCGGAACTAAGAATTACTCTTTGAAATCAACTCCGAATCTCTCAAAAGTCAAAATCAACTATGTGCACGCAAGTCATAATGCATAATATGAAACTTCTCAAAGTCCCGAACCCCGAACGAAGTGCTAAAATTCAAAATGACTGTTCGGGTAGTTACACTAGCATTAAAAAGAAAAGTCACTAGATATAGCTTATTCTGTCTATGGAATCTAAGCAAGTGACAATTTGTCTCAAAATTTAAAAAACCTATAAAATACTTGGATTAGCTTATTGATAAATAATACCCCGTATTCAAGATAAGATACATTTTAAACAACCGTCTGAGTTTCATCATTCATGACTTTTTCTTCTTACCAAAATTGCAATTTTTAATACTTCGACCAAATAGAGAACTATTGATATTTTTGTTACAGTTGGAACTAAATCAGATTTAGTAAAATTGGTAACAACTTAATTACTAAAGGAAAACAGATACCATGGGGTTCCATTTGTGTCCTATATAAACTCATGTTTTTATCATTCTCCCATCCATCAATTCTCAGGTTGCAGCTATACATGAAGGGAGCTCACAACGATGACGATGAAGATGAAGATGTTGGAATTCAATTCCAACGACATGAATCCTGAAGAAGGGTTCATCCAAATTGAATCAATGAGTCACCAAATTGTAAGATCTTTACTTCATTGCCTTTTCCTTAATTGATATGTTATATCTATTTGTTCTTTAATATCTAACCCTTGTAAACGTTGATGTGCTTAGGTTATGGAGCCCCCGTGCTTGTGTGGGCTCCTTTTTGCACAGCACTTTCTGCCAAAGACCATGGTAATGAACATAAATTTGTTTCTTAAAGTAACACATTAACGAAAATTGATATACACTAACCGCTCTGATCTAATTTAAGCGTCTCATTTAATGGAAGTTATAGTGAAACTAAATCTTCTAAATTTAACTCTTTCCTTTTTTTTTTCCCAGATTCATAGTCACATAGACATGACTGACACGGACTTAGCTGGATCGTGACAAGTGTTGAAAGAAAGTGGGTCTTTTAGGTAATTTTTGGGGATACCATTGGTGAAAATACAACTGGAAAATATCTTGTATCTCTATTTTTGTGGTTGTCTCATACGTTCCTATCTGTAAAAACTCTTAGTTTCGAAAGAGAATTGTGTCTTGAATTTTTGTTTTGCGGATATGATTATTAAGTAGGTAATTAGAAATTGTAACAATAGCATGGATACAAAAATGACACTGATTCACATCTCATACTTAGATACGTGAATCCAAGATCTAGGATTAATGGGTTTAGAATGAGTATAATTTTCTTAATTATAAGAATACATTTTAATTTTTTCTGCATATACATACACATTTTGAAAAAGAAAAAAAACCAATCGGTTCGGCATATAAAAACGATGGGATCGATTGAACATATAAAACCCGACCTCAAGGCTCAATCTACAATGATCATACCGAAGCAACACTAAGTGCCGATCACAGCCCTATAGTTTTGATTTGTGACAATTTCATTCAAAAATTTGCTTTATTACAATTTTCTTTCTTATTAAAATCTTAAATCAATTAGACAATCAATAGAATTGTCAATTATATCCTACGATTACTCAAACTCTAAAATCCCATAATCTTACGAGTCTATGCAATTATCAGAACATGACAAATTTTACCTTCACTAATGATAAGACATTTAAAGATATGAGTGTTAATGTTCACCATTAAATGTCATATGTAGAATCATTATGTTAGATTATTCCGGTAACTTTTATCTTGTTGGTGAGAGTTTAATTCCGACCTTGTAATCTTCGGCCCTATTTTCTCTTTTCCTCCTCCACCACGTATAATAAAACATAAAACAGGAAAAAGAAGTGGGAATATAGCAGATTCAGTGACAAAGACTTTGGGGGTTGAAGGCTAGCTCACTTGGTGAGCTTCCTGCCATCCACCATTGAAGTGATAACGACTTCGTTTCAAGTTTACTCTTTTTATTTTATTTTTTGTTTCGTCCTTCTTTTTTCTTTTGTTGGAACATGGATGGGGTACATGACTAAACAATACTTACAAATGTTGAGATTTAGTTAGATAAGACTGCACAAGATGCAGTTTCATCTTTCATCGCACTCCAATATCTTAATAAAGCAGAATTTTCTAAAGTTGGCAACAACTTGTGATCACGCCCAACTATGCCTTATAAAAAGGACTAAGCGGTCGCTGCAAATATAATCCGGTTTACAAGTCCGGAGTCGATCCCACAGAGAACTAAGGTTTAGCTACAGCTGTTCACTATCACCAAGAAGACAAGCTTGTACAATTCCTAACCTATAGATATTAAGATTCTTGTGTTTAACTACTTAACTAACAAATTAAAATAGTAAATTAACAACTAACGATACTGAGGGTTAGAGAAAAGATTAAGGAGGTCTAGAGTTATGATTTCCCCAATTGTCGGAATCCTTCCCGCTATGTCTTCTATAATTTCGCCTAATTATTCTCTACCGATCATGAGCACTCTTATTACCGTAAATCTCTCCCGAGTAATTACGATAATTTACTAGACGCACTCTCCCGAGCTACGCTAGCTGGCTTTTAATACAGCTCACTTCAGATCGCACCCAAGGCTTCGTTATTCCTAATCCCACCTTTAAACCCTCGGTTATTGATCGCTCATATACTCTGGGAGTGGTCTTGTTCAACAATTACCTAAATATGCACTCTCTCCCGAGTTATGCATACTAAATAGGCACAGCTAATTGAGAGCTCTTCAATCAACCAGAATATAAACGTAGTTGAACAAATAGAGAAAAGCTATGGTTCAATTATATAAAAACATAACATGAATTTATCCTACAAAAGGCTCTATCAAAACTCTAGATAACAAATTAGCTATTCATAATAGTATGTAAAACTACAATACTAAAAGTCATAACCAACAATGAAAAATAGGAAGAGGAAGGAAAAACTCGTAGAAGAATTCTCCGCCTTGCTCCCAATGTGTTCTTGCCTCCAAGGGTGTTGTCTAACCCTAAAGTAGTGTCTCCTGCCTCCCTTAGGNTATATCCTACGATTACTCAAACTCTAAAATCCCATAATCTTACGAGTCTATGCAATTATCAGAACATGACAAATTTTACCTTCACTAATGATAAGACATTTAAAGATATGAGTGTTAATGTTCACCATTAAATGTCATATGTAGAATCATTATGTTAGATTATTCCGGTAACTTTTATCTTGTTGGTGAGAGTTTAATTCCGACCTTGTAATCTTCGGCCCTATTTTCTCTTTTCCTCCTCCACCACGTATAATAAAACATAAAACAGGAAAAAGAAGTGGGAATATAGCAGATTCAGTGACAAAGACTTTGGGGGTTGAAGGCTAGCTCACTTGGTGAGCTTCCTGCCATCCACCATTGAAGTGATAACGACTTCGTTTCAAGTTTACTCTTTTTATTTTATTTTTTGTTTCGTCCTTCTTTTTTCTTTTGTTGGAACATGGATGGGGTACATGACTAAACAATACTTACAAATGTTGAGATTTAGTTAGATAAGACTGCACAAGATGCAGTTTCATCTTTCATCGCACTCTGATATCTTAATAAAGCAGAATTTGCTAAAGTTGGCAAAGAAAAACAAAGCCCAAGAGTCCAATTTGTGAGTCCCTCTTTCGTCCTGGTTGTATGCTTCAATGATCCAATTCGTAATTTGAAAATTTTAATTTAAAAATTCAAAAATTTTGGATATCAATTTGAGTTTCGGGTTTGTCAAATTATGCTTGCCCTAATGAACAATGACACTTGAGGATTGGCGAGAAACGGATGTTGTAACTAAAAACTAAATTTCAATGACAGTTAGTGAAGTTAATGTTGTGTTTCTTGTCATTGAATATATGTATGTAACATTGCCTAAGAAAATATGGAAGTGCCTTGAAGATAGTTATTTGAACTAGACTTTGTCGTAACATTTCTACTTCTAGTTTCACACTTCTAACGAGAAAGTAATTTACCTCATCTCAAATATAAAGAGAAACTCTTCTAATAAAGTGAGATAAAATAATGATGATCAACGCGTAGGTCACTTTCCTATACCAGTGGACAATATTCTCTGAAGGATCAAGTCTTTTGTAGTGGTGTTGTTATAGCATGTGGACATGGAATACCTTTTAGTTCTCAAGACCTGCAACTGCAGTAGCCTATTCTTAAATCTACAATGAACTTGCATGGACCATCTTAGAGTTGAAAGACTGTATCCCCATTAAACATGAAGTCAACCCGCATTGACCTCTCAACATTAGTATTGAACACCATCATTGCCATTTGAGATACACCATCCTAAGTTTCGACAAATTCTCTCTTCTTTGCTACCCTACTCATAACTTTGACCCTTATTTCCTCTAACATTGATATGATTATCTTGTGTCTGGGGCCCAATATCCAATTTGAAGCTTTCACACATGTTATTGTCAACGTTGTCATACTTGGAGAATGTTTGGAAGAATTCTTTGCACTATCTTTCTTTGTTGTATTTAACTAGGTCTTCACAAATGTTATGACCCAATTTATCAGGATCATCTGACATTCTTTTCATTTCAGACTCAAAGGTTGATCTAAAAACACTCCAGAATCTTTTTCTTCTTTCTGTCCCTCTCCATTTTATTGCCCAGTTTGCTTGAATGTGTCTAGCACACATTTTGTGCTCACACTCAGGTAAAATCTCTTCAACAGTTGAACATAGACCCTGCATAAAAATAGTACAAAAACATACAGAATTGTATTAAAACTAGAGAAACAATAGTGTTAAAACCAGAAAAACGGTAGTGTTAAAACCAAAAAAATAAGAACAAAATAGCAGTATATACCTTTTGCATGTTACTTATCATGGTGAGTTCCCTACCATCTCCCAAGTTTAAATCAGTTTGCAATAACCTGAGGAACCAACTCCATGTTAGTTTTTTCTCAATGCCTACAACAGCCCAAGCTATTGGGAACATTTTGTTATTCTCATCCTTTGCTAGTGCTGCCGACATTTGCCCTTTACAAATACCTTAAAAAATATTCATCTAACCCTATACATCTCCTACAGCCCTCCATAAACCCCCGCTTCATAGCTGCAAAACAAATGTAGAACGTGGAAGATTGCTTTTGCCCATCATCTGTCTCTGTCAATTTTACTGCACATCTGCTACAAGGATTTGTTTTGAGTAGCATATCCCTATACTCCAGAATCCTAGCAAACTTAGCAACATGATCCCCCATAATTTATTTCAACACAAATTTTTTTGACTTCAAACAAACAACCTTACCAACATATAAATCAAGCTTTTTTCTCACCATATCCTGAATTTCCCAACCTTTAATTCTAGGTTGTGAGGTAATTCTATCTTTAAAATTTTTTGCAAAGTATTTTAAATTACACACATATTTGTAAGTGGTTATATGGCATTTGTGTCTTGGATTCTAAGTCTTGGTTATGAAGTTTGTACTCCTACCTTCCTTGATAGCAAACAACAACCAAAGGCAACCAGTTTTGCATTTAAGTCTGACCCTAGGTGGCTCATTGGGTTCCTTAACTAGCTGAATACTTTTCTTTATAGCATACTTGGTAACTGCTTCTCTAAATTCCTTCACATTCTCAAACACCATCCCCAGTTGCCAAGTAACAATTTTGGCAGAAGGATCATAAACCACCCTATTGGGTTTTTTCCTTCCCCTTCACTGTCCCATATTATCTTCCTCATCTACATCATCATCAGATANAAAACGTAGTTGAACAAATAGAGAAAAAGCTATAGGTTCAATTATATAAAAAACATAACATGAATTTATCCTACAAAAGGCTCTATCAAAACTCTAGATAACAAATTAGCTATTCATAATAGTATGTAAAACTACAATACTAAAAGTCATAACCAACAATGAAAAATAGGAAGAGGAAGGAAAAACTCGTAGAAGAATTCTCCGCCTTGCTCCCAATGTGTTCTTGCCTCCAAGGGTGTTGTCTAACCCTAAAGTAGTGTCTCCTGCCTCCTTAGGTCTAATTTGTGTCCAAAATA